CTTCCGTTGCATGGTGACTGGGGTTTTATGGAAAGTAAATTGCGACTATTTATTTTACGCGCGTTTGGCCTGTAACAAAGGCAGGCAGACTTTTAATGGACGGGAGACAGTCCAGAGTTGATTTTAGGTTTGATGTTCAGGTCTTTCTTGTACTGTGTAATTCTGAGGAGTTTATATAATCTGTTCGTTTGTATGCTTCTTTGTCTAGGAATTGAGAGTATGTTTGTCTTTCTCTCTCTCTCTCTCTCTCTCTCTCTCTCTCTCTCTCTCTCTCTTCTATCTTTCTTTCTCTCACTCTCTCTCTCTCTCTCTCTCTTCTCTCTCTCGCTCTCTCTCTCTGTCTCTCTCTCTCTCTGTCTCTCTGTCTCTCTGTGTCTCTCTCTCTGCCTCTCTCTCTCTCTCTCTCTCTCTCTCTCTCTCTCTTCTCTCTCTCGCTCTCTCTCTCTGTCTCTCTCTCTCTGTCTCTCTGTCTGTCTGTCTGTCTGTCTGTCTCTCTCTCTCTCTCTCTCGCTCTCTCTCTGTCTCTCTGTCTCTCTGTATCTCTCTGCCTCTCTCTCTCTCTCTGCCTCTCTCTCTCTCTCTCTCTCTCTCTCTCTCTCTCTCTCTCTCTCTCTCTCTCTCTCTCTCTCTCTCTCTCTCTCTCTCTCTCTCTCTCCTATCTTTCTCTCTCTATGCCAATCAGTATATCTGTCAACACATAGATTTGGGTAATTCCTTACCTTAATCCGTCTGTCTCTCTTCCCTTTACAGATTGTGAGAAAGATGAGTTGATGAAGGCGCCTGCGATACTCACCTCACCCGTCATAGACATCTTGCCTAATCACGTCACTCATCTCAACAACGTGAGTTCAAGTCGTCGGATGAGAGGTTGCTGTATTAATTGGATTAGATAAGGGTAGAGAATGAAATGGTTTTCCATCTATTTATTTCTCTCACAGTATTTTCGTTTGGTTGCATGTCTGTCTGTCTGTCTGTCTGTCTGTCCGTCTCTCTGTCTCTCTCTCTCTCTGTCTCTGTCTCTCTCTCTCTCTCTCTCTCTCTTTATCTCTCTCTCTCTCTCTCTCTCTCTCTCTCTCTTTCTCTTTCTCTTTCTCTTTCTCTTTCTCTTTCTCTCTCTCTCGCTCCTTCTCGGTCTTTCAGGTTTATCAAGCTATCTACTTACCGTTCCCTTCTTCTCTTCCTCCTTCCAATGTCTTTCTCTCCCTCCCCATCTCTTTCTCCTTGCACTCCACTCTGTTTCTCTCCCTCCTTCCTTCCCCCCTTCCCTTCCTTACCCACTATCTTCCTCCCTCCCTCCCTCCTTCCCTTCCTTACCCACTATCTTCCTCTCCTTTCCTCCCTCCTTCCCTCTCTCCCTCCTTCTCCTTACCTTCCTCTCCCACGCTCTTCCCCACCTTCTTTCTCCCTACCTCTCCACCACTTCCCTCACCCCTGCTCCTCCTCCTTCTGACTTTACAATACCTCCCATCACCGACAAAGAGTTACGAGAAATTCACAAAGCCTAAAGAAGAGCAACGGGTGTTTAGGAAGCTTCTGTAGGCCTATCGAGTCTCTCATTTAAGGGTACGGTAGGTGAGTTCGCGATGAAGGAGTCTCATCCATGCAATAAATAGAACGGCTGTTTCCTTTATTTGGATGGCCCGAGGGACAGTTACGGCGTCTGTTTTTTTCTTTTCTTTTTTTTCTTTTTTTTATTATTGATATTTTTGTTTTTTGTTTTTTGTGAGGATGGGTATAATTTCTTGTTGTTCCAATAATTACTAGGTACTGTGTCTGGTACTGCGGCTGTGGTTAGAGTGATTATATATATTTATTAGCTTACTTTGTCTGTGGCTATGATCATAATGGATTTAGTGACGTATTGATTATTGCTATTTTTATAATCAACATTTGTTTCGAAAACTTTGATGCTGTTGCTGGTTTTGCATATCTATCTATATGTCCCTATATCCATCTATCTACCTATCTATCTACCTGTCTATCTATCTAACTAACTATCCATTTATGTTTACATACAGACATAGATACATACATATATGTATATATATATATATATATATATATATATATATATATATATATATATATATATATATATATATTTATATATATATATGTGTGTGTGTGTGTGTGTGTGTGTGTGTGTGTGTGTGTAAATATATATATATATATATAATTTGTATATATACTTATATATCTATATATACTTATATATCTATATCTATATCTATCTATCTATCTATCTATCTATCTATATATATATATATATATATATATATATATATATATATATATATGTATATATATATATATATACATTCATATATATGTATGCATATATATACATATATACATATATATGTATATATGTAGTTTATATGCAGATATATATCTATATATATAAATTAATATTGATATATATACATATATTCATACATACATCCATGCATATACCCATGCATATATATATATATATATATATATATATATATATATATAT